ATTGCCTTTTGTTCTGGAAAAATAAACTAAATTAACTGATGGGTTCACAACAATTACAGTTTTCACAATTACAGTTTTCATACTTACTCCAAGGGCACTTTCACAGCTACCTATTTAAAACTAAATGCATACCTGACAGCTGTTCTGGCGGCTTTATAAAGAGTCAACTTGAAAACTTAAAAATAAATTATAAGTGTCAGAATATTTGCGAGAGAGAAAAATGTAATTGATAACATGTCAACGGTAGATGCATGACAAACGCTGTGTTGTTTACAACAATGTTTACAAACCAATCAATTGCGGGTATAGGTGATGAGGTTGAACATAAGTGTATAGTTAAGTGTGCTTGCATAATTCCAATTTAAAACTAATTAGATGAAATGCTTTGTTTAGAACTTCAGGTGTGAAAGGCCCTTATAAGGTTGCTTTCATACTTGTAGGTCAGTTCATTTGGTCTGGACCAAGAAGAAAAAGAGGCGTTATTTCTCTTCTCTCTCTCTGACAAAAGTCCAAGAATCCAAACCAATTCACCGAATAGTTTTGGTGACTGTCATCCTGCATCATCAGCACTACATGAACCCACGTGATGAATCAAATTCCTAAGACTCACAGCAGGTTATATTGCACTTTACTGCCTCTTATTCATCTTCTCACAAAGAAATGATTTATTGATTTTATTATAAGAGGTGTGCATAACACACTGTTGTTTTAACTCTTTTTCTCTGATTAATGAGGGAAATCTCTGCCCTTTTACCACGGATACCAATCTGGATCTGGCATAATTATATAGATTGCTTACACAGATGTTCAGGTATGATCAGCAGGTGGTTTTAAGTGTAGTGTAGTTTTAGAATTCATGCAGAAATCACATATCTACCATCACACAACTCTTATGACTGGTCTGCTGTGCTTCACAGCCACAAATGATCCATTCAGAAACCCTAAAAAAACCCTAACTGCTTTTTTATGTCAGCCCAAATGAACCCGAACCAAGAGATACTGATCTGGGAGATTTCTGCCCCCATCCAAATAATACGTAGGTGAACATAATTTTGTTAAAACATTGTTAAAGAGCATTTAAAAAAAATGTAACATCAATGTGTCTCAGCTGATTCCTGGCAAAACAGACACTGAAAAGGGTTTGTTCATAGTCATATTGACATTATATCAGCAACATGTACCTTTCACTACAGTTTCAATGTATACATACACCGATCAGCCATAACATTATGACCACCTGGGCACCCTGTGGTGCTCCTAATGTTATGGCTTTAGAATATGTCACAGACATGGAAAAATATATAAACATATAAACACCTTAACATCTCCTGTATTTGTATCGTTTTAGATTAAATCTTCCATTCATATGTTAACAGGACTTTTATTGTACTGTATTTATCAAAGGCAAGCTCAGTATGGACAGATAGGACTCTCTTGCTGCAGCAATACAGTGAGGCAGCCGTTACACACTTCTCAGGTAGGCAGTGTGAACAGGGTGTAAGAATGAGTTATAAAGTATGGTTGTTGTTTTTTTGTTATATGTGTTAGTGACACTTTAAGCTTATCTTTGAAGAGTGGCAGCTCATAGGTGATTTTTCTTTGCACAGTGTCATTGAGGTCATCAGAACAGTGTGTCCATGTTGTCAGAGTGAGGCTGAACCCGGGACTGTCTTATCTGGGCAGTAAACCAGCTGAGCAGCTGGCTTTAACCACAGTGCATAACTGCGTGTGCATGTGTGTGTGTGTGTGT